ATTTAAGTGGATCCTACTACCATTATGTTTCTCTCTTACCACCTCGGATGTCAAGATATCCCGATTTGAATGATTCGTAGTTCGAGGTGTCATGATTTAAACGATGGTCCTACAAGGTGTATATAACGTATTTCTCAGCTGACTCCATTGCTAAATAGATAGACGATCATCATCATTCTGGATAAATATCAATATTTGAACTGATACGTCGTAGTCTCATCGACTATATGCAGTTATATTAATATTAAAAAATGACATAACATTCAACAAAAATAAACATAAACAATATGTAGCAACAGTAATATTCAAAAAGGTCAGGAACAATCCATATTGACAATTTGCACTCTGCAGTAACAATAAACTTAAGAAAAGTAGTGCAAATCAATTCCCAGAGCTGCTCAATATTGAAATATTGTACACGCTAGATAGTGAAATATTTTTGCATAGCACCTTGAAAACGTAGGAGAAGTGCAAGATGGATATTTGATTGTGTTAGAAAATTTGTCGAACTCTACTAGTATTCTCCTTTCAGCAGATCTTGCGGGATTTGCTCTTGTTATGACAGTATCTCGTCGTGTAATATATTTTTTCTCTTCTCGTGTATCCAAAAAAGATACAGAGATTGACAAAAATGAAAAATAAATAAAATATTTTTTTTCTGAAACTATCAACAACTAATGTAATGTAAATATAATTTATCAATAACATGTTAACTAGCTGTAAATTTCAGAGCATAACTCCACCTAATAAAATCGGCTTACTAGGGGATGATTGCTCTCACCTTATTAAATGGATCATTTATATTTTCCCAAATAATGTGGGATTCTAATACGCTCCCTCACGCACAGCGTTGACCATGCCAAACAACTGTGAACAAATCGATATTGGGTGGCACCCAACATTGCATAATTGGGCCTAGCTCTGATACCATGTTAGGAATATTGGGCCTAACTCCACCTAATAAAACCGGCTTATTAGGGGAGGATTGCCCTCACCTTNAGAATTGTCATCACCTTATTAAATGGATTAGTTATATTTTCCCAAATAATGTGAGATTCTAATAAATAGGGGCTAAATAGTTAATCTAACAATGGGCTACTATTCGGGTCTCACTCAATGGTCAAACTTCAATTCGATCTACTAATTTGGTTTAAATATTAATTAAAAGTTAAATTTTCTATTTAATTCAAACCAAATGTAGAAAGTCAAACTCATAATCTATTTTAAAAAATAAAAATAAATATTTTCTTGAGGTCTAAAGATTGACATTTTAAAATAGAGAGTATTTACTTTTAAAGAGTTTTTTTTTCTCGTTTACTTTTCTAATCCCAACTAACACGAGATACAAACAATAAAATGAAGACCCGATTCTTCATTCGCAATAGTGCATCACCAACACGTTAGGGTAAGGTTGATGTTGTGATCGTAATGTTAATATATTTCGTATTATTAATGTTGTTTGCATTGTGCGTGTTGTTATAATGCATGTCTAGTTGTGAAATATTGTTGTATATTTATAAATTGATTAAATTATGCCAAGCATTTTTAATCTTCGAGATCATTTGCACTTTCATCTGCAGCCTTTTATTTGGATAAAGAAAAATTAGAAATTCAGAGAAGACAAAAGAAAAGAAATTAAAAAAGAAATTATATCATCTTCTCTACCCCACCACACGAGCACCATCCTCATCGCCACCACTACATTGCCACCGTCACCACGCCTCACAGTCGAAAATGCCGGAGTTTCCAAGCAAGCCCGAACTTTCCTACTCTACGCAGTGATTTTTGGTGATGCCGAGGAGGAGAAGGATTTGGGGATGATGTGGTCGGATGGGGCGGAAAAGATTATTGGATTTCTTCTATTTTTCTTTTTTCAAAATTTTCATTTTCATTCTTTATTTAATATTTTAATTAAGAATATTAGAAAGACAAGTTTGCCCTTTTATTTTCATCATTTGAAGTGAAATGAGTTTGACCGATGATAAAATGGACAAATCTCATTATTTTCCAAAGAGAGATGCTTCACGTACATAAAAGATTTCACATAAAAACTTACATGACACTCACACACACATGTGTGGGTCCTGCACAATTTTTTCTAATACATGATAGGGTCTACCATGTGAGTATTTTGAGAAGTCCCTGTGAAATGAATCCTGCAGTTGAAAATTAATTGTTTTCGAAAATCCGACTACATGGTTGTTTAGAAAAAAAAAATGCTTGGCAATGAACGTGCAAATGACCTCAAATAAGGTAAAAATCCCATGGGATTAAATTTATGAAGTGTACCAAGCCCATGACACTATAGTCCAATTATTATCGCATTTAACCTCGAGGCATTTTTAGGCTATCACTATTATAAGTGGATAATAAGTGGATGTCAAATTTTAATATTACACTAATATAACACGATTCTTCAATTAACCAATTCAAGTGATACATTTTCTTCCTCTAGCAACTAAACCACGTCACCCATGCTGATGAGTTATTACGTGCCCACGAGTCAAAGATGTGGTAACATTTTCGAAGAATAAATTAATCATTCTCCCAAATAACTTCAAATAAATATTTTTAATTCATCTTAAACCTTTAGTATAATATAGCATATATTTTTTGCAATTTATAAATAATTATTATTACGTCAAGACAAGTTCTTTAAGACGAGACTTTAAATAAATTATAATTTATTATAATGTGGAGTTTATTCTTATTTATAACTAGTCCAAGTCGGGATAGGATTTTTGTATGACTACGTGAAAGTTACTCCAATAGAATATTATATAGATATCTCAATGCATCATATGAAAGTAAAAATATCTACTAAACAAAAAGTCCCGAGGACAGTTTCTTTTTTTCAATACATTTCGGTATTTGTTTGGGAGAGCTTATTAGAAGCGATAAATATTTTTTTTCTTTAGAACGTGTGATTAAAAAGTAAATTCCCGTCTGACCCTCAAAACTATTTTTTTTTCGAAAAAAATTAATTTCAACTACATATTTGATGGGATCCATAATTTTATCGACTCCTCAACCATGGACTTTATCAATTTTTAAATCAAAATATACTAAAAACTTGTTTTTATCAAAATAAAAATTAATTTATTAAAAGAATATGAATTATTCACCCAGAAAAAGTTTAGTTATTGACTTAGTTTAATTTTTAAATAAATTGTGCCAAACAAACCTCTCGAAATCTTCCTCAAATCCCCTCTATGTAAAAAAAGAAAAAAATAAATAAAAAAAATAAAAACTAAAAACAAATTAAAAGTACAAAGAAAAAGTAGGAAGTAATCCTACCTGCGCATAATCATTATATACACACGGAGAAAAAAACAGTTTAGAAGAGCGAAATAGAAGGAAAAAAAAAAAAAAGGACCATGATATTTGTATACAGGAGTCTGTACACCTACATCGAGATGTCAACTTCGGTGTACAAATAGCGTTTTCCAAAAAATAAAGAGAAAAGTAAGTCACGTCAACATGTAAATGGTAACGTAGTATGTACGAATAACATCACTATAAATAAGGGATGGAAATCTGCAACCCACTTTAATGAAGGACGACAATTCACATGACTCGTAACCTACGAAGTGGGGAAACTACCACTTAGCTTAGCATAAGAAACACCCCACCCCTTCGTCTCCCGAAGTAATGCTCAAATTCGATTAAGGAAAAAAATAAAGTAATAATAACATTTGACTGCTTTTCCCTCATCACTCTCATCCTTCTCTACAGATTTTTCTCTTCCAGACTTCCACTCCCTCTCTCCCAAACAGGGATTTTCTTGGTGACTTACGAATCAATACACAGAACTTGTATGTTTTTTTTTTCTTTTTTTTTTTTTTTTGGGTGTTTT